GGCTCTCATTCTTATTTTCAGAACTTTTTTCACGTTCAGACCATTTTGTATCATAATTTTGTTGGTGATCATTTATAGGACTTCTCTCACGGTTACACCACTGGTTTTGTAGAAACTCTTGTTGCTGTCGATATTGTTGGCTCTCATTCTTATTTTCAGAACTTTTTTCACGTTCAGACCATTTTGTATCATAATTTTGTTGGTGATCATTTATAGGACTTCTCTCACGGTTACACCACTGGTTTTGTAGAAACTCTTGTTGCTGTCGATATTGTTGGCTCTCATTCTTATTTTCAGAACTTTTTTCACGTTCAGACCATTTTGTTTCATAATTTTGTTGGTGATCATTTATAGGACTTCTCTCACGGTTACACCACTGGTTTTGTGAGAACTCTTGTTGCTGTCGATATTGTTGGCTCTCATTCTTATTTTTAGGAATTCTTTCTCGTTCAGACCAATTCGTTTCATAATTTTGTTGTACTTGATGTTGTTGTTGATGATGTTGTTGATAAGGTTGTCGTTTTTGACGTATAGAATTAGAATTCCCATCGTCATTCAAAGACCTTTCGACATCTACAAATGAATTGTTTTCAAAACGTTGGTACTGATTTTCAGAGCACCTTTCTTGACATTGCTTTTCAAAAGAAAATCTTGAGTTAGAATTACGAGAATCATTCATGTGTGTTTCAGCACTCACTGGCCAATTACTTTCGAACCGCTTCCCTTCATAATATTGCTGTTGCATAATTGAGTTAGGTCTTTCAGTATCACTTATATGTCCTATTTCATTTTGTTGTCCCTGTGACCTAGAACAGTTTGAGAAAAAGTTCCCATTGCTATTAAATGAATTTTTCGCATCCATTGACCATTTATTCTCATAGGGTAGTTGCTGTCGTTCTTGTTGCGAAGAAGATCGTGAGTCAAAATTTTCATCGTCAAACACATTTTTTCTAACACGTATATACGATTTATTTTCCGAACTCTGTTGTTGCATATTCTGCTGTTGCATGTTCTGCTGTTGCATATTCTGCTGTTGCATGTTCTGCTGTTGCATATTCTGTTGTTGGTTCATAGAGTACATGAAATCAGAACTTTCGTCATCATCTGTACATCGTTCGTCACGTCTAAACTTTTTATTTTCGGAATGTTGTTGTGGTGTCGCAGAGTACCCAAAGGCTAAACTATCCATATTATTTATAAATCTTTTCTCACATCTTAAGTGTTCATTTTCAGAAAAATTTTGTTTACGATGATATTGCTCATTTTGATGCCCTTTCTGCATATCAAAGTTACTTGAATCAAAATTCATATTGTCATAAGTAAATCTATTTCTAGACATTAACCAGTCATCTTCTAAGCGTTGCTGCTGGTTTTGTGAATTAAAAGAACTCGAAGTGTCATCTTGCCTTGTTTCAAAATTAGTAGTTATATTATTGTATTTTGTGGTATTAAAAGCCCCCGATGTGTTCTCTGTTTGGAAACCATAATTAATGTTGTCATGTTTACGTTTAAAGCAAACTTTGTAAGATCGATAATTGATTTCGTAATTATCTTTGTCAAGATTTCTTAGAGATATAGGATCAATAGCCAAAGTAAGTTCTGTATTTATTCCATTTTCATTTCTAAACAAGACTTCCCACTTATTTATTCTAAGTCCCCTATTTCGTTTCTTGATTTCTTTCAAAATACTTTTATTATCCACATCATTACTTTCTGGAAACCATGCTGCAAATATTTGTTGACAAGGTATGTTTCCTTCTTCTTGATTTGTTTTAAAATTAGCAGTCACATTATTACATTTTGTGGTATTAAAAGCCCCTGATGTGTTATCTGTTTGGAAACCATAATTAGTGTTATCATTAGTACGTTTAAAGCAAACTTTGTAAGATCGATAATTTATTTCGTAATTAAATCTTTCAAGATTTCTTAGGGATATAGGATCCATAGCCAAAGTAAGTTCTGTATTTATTCCATTTTCATTTCTGAACAAGACTTCCCATATATTTGTTCTAAGTCCCCTATTTCGTTCCTTAATTTCTGTCAAAATACTTTCATTATCCTCATCATTACTTTCTGGAAACCATGCCGTAAATATTCGTGAACAAGGTATGTTTCCTTTTTGATTTGTTTTAAAATTAGCAGTTATATTATTGTATTTTGTAGTATTAAAAGCCCCTGATGTGTTATCTGTTTGGAAACCATAATTACTGTTATCATTAGCACGTTTAAAGCAAACTTTGTAAGATCGATAATTAATTTCGTAATTAAATCGGTCAAGATTTCTTAGGGATATAGGATCCATAGCCAAAGTAAGTTCTGTATTTATTCCATTTTCATTTCTGAACAAGACTTCCCATTTATTTGTTCTAAGTCCCCTATTTCGTTTCTTAATTTCTGTCAAAATACTTTCATTATCCTCATCATTACTCTCTGGAAACCATGCTGTAAATATTTGTGGACAAAGTATGTTTCCTTCTTCTTGATTTGTTTTAAAATTAGCAGTTACATTATTACATTTTGAGGTATTAAAAGCCCCTGATGTGTTCTCTGTTTGGAAACCATAATTACTGTTATCATTAGTACGTTTAAAGCAAACTTTGTAAGATCGATAATTGATTTCATAATTAAGTTGGTCAAGATTTTTTACGGAAATAGGATCAATATCTAAAATAAGTTCTGTATTTATTCCATTTTCGTTTCTAAACAAGACTTCCCACTTTTTTGTACTAAGTCCCTTATTTCGTTTCTCAATCTGTGTCAAAATAGTTTTATTACCCTCATCATTACTTTCTGGAAACCAGGCTGTAAATATTTGTGAACAAGGTATGTTTTCTTCTTCTACAATTCTAACCGAAAAGTTTGGCCATGGTTTTAATGTGGGTACAACCGATTTTATCCATTTTTCCGTACTGACATCTTTATTATCATATATTAAAGTTATAAATCCATACTTAAAAATGCAACCATCAAAATTTGGTTTGTCAGAATTTGCAGGTAGTTTTCTGATTTCATTTAAAATGCATTGTTGTAGAATTTCAAACTGAGTTGTGGTCCAACATATACTTGGATATTCTGACGGTAACAAACCAATATTTTTAGTTTCGGTACTTAAAGTATTTACGGGAACGGTATCAAAAGTTACAGGACTTTCCCTATCCTCATCGCTGTCTTCAGATTTTCTTGCAGCACGCATAAGACTAGTTCGGCTTGGATATTTTTCTCTCATTCTTTCAATATATTCCTTTGAAGCACCTGGTTTTCTACCTTGATTCTTACACCATCTTATCTTATTATGAGAATAAACTGTAGCTTCCTTCATGCTAAAACCTTTTCTTAATAAAATTGCGCGACGTCTTCGGGCTGATCCAGAGAGTTTAATTCGACCAATATCTTTCAAATTCACACTATTGAAATCAATATCTTGTGGAATGGTTGGTTCGCCGCTAATATTTGTACTTGTATTTTTTAGCATGCAATTAAGTTGAGCAAATTTTTTAGATTTAGTAAAACTAAACCCTTGTTTAAGATATGATGATAAATGTTTTTTATAAAGTGCTGTTTCGGTAAGATTAGGTCTTTCAGATTTAGCCTTAACTGGTGTTTTCTCTTCATCTGAAATAACAATAATACTTTTTTCATCTTCATAATTTGGTTCTGTTTTACATTTAATTATGTTTGCCTGTGAAGTTGATGGACATATATTTATTTTGTCATTTTTAAAATGAGGTGACGCCTCATATTTATTAATTTGATATTTATAACTCATTTGATTCCCACGAGTGTAGGGGAAAGTATGTCACCCGACGCATAGCCCCCATTACTTCGGGAAGGCTTATTAAAACTAGAGGTCGCCAGATATCTAGAGTACACCGTTCAAAGACACACTCACGTAGTGCCATTCATCCCTCGGCACGGTACGTTTAACACCGGGGATTACGGGTTTTATCGAGTTTTCCTCTCTAGATCCGCCATATTCAGTATAAGCAGGGTCACCTCGTGCAGGATGTGATATCAGATCACGTATGGACGGTCTTAGGCATATAGCAATAAGCCATATATCCTCTGGTGGAATGGATTACTTATCAATATGTTAGTGTATTCAAAAACAACACGTTTCACTGATGTGCTGTACAAAGTAATCTATATCCATCCTTGACCCCAAAAATAAACAGTAAACAACATACAACATCCCATAAAGGAAAGTTTCAATAAAATAAGAAACAGAAAACTAGAGTAGCAAGTGTAACTGAGAATGTAGACTTTACATCATCGACAGACGGACATCACTAAATCAATTGGTCTCGTCAGGCTGATCGAGAATATATTAACAATATAGTATCAAAAGAATACTACCATTCGGACAAAATATTGTTGTGTAGTGTTGCAATACCCAACGTAGAAATATTATATTATTAATAGAAAGATAAATGAATTCGTATATTCAAATCAAGTCTAACTGGCCTCTTACCATCAAATTAAAAGTTTCAATATCAATTACACATCGAAGTGCAGCAACCAGAGTCTAAATCGAGTTCTTGAAATAACTGCAATCTGCAAGCAATTTAAGTATTTCAACCGTTATTTAACCTTTTTAATGCATGTAATGTTTAAAAATATTGTAAATAAAAAATCTTTTTAAGGAAAAGCTTTGATTTTAAAAAATGTATGCAATGTGTACACACCATAACTTATAAAGGAAATATTACCGGCATAGCACTTCCGCCGTTTTTAGCACCTGACTGACTATTAAGTATGTTACACTCTATATTATTTTAATTACGTATTCACATTTGACAATTGTGTACAGTTCAGCTTTGGTTATAAAATCAATAATGCATAATATTTATAATTTTATTTTTATATATTATACAATATTTACTTTGAGAATGTTCGG